ATGTGAACATATGAACAGCATCAATACAAAATGTGACGAAAAATGTAAACAACTTCTATTTTCAACTAAAGGAATGGAAGTTTTCTTAAACATTTTCAAAGAAAATCCTCAATTGCAAGTTGTTTATTCAATTAGACTATGAATTAGGATGAATTAGACAATGCTTTACTGTATTATATGTTATTTGCTATGGTCATGATGAAAATGCTGCATCTGGTAATTAAATTACCAGAGATGATTGAATACAACCTTGTATTCTTAAAAGAAAACTTGCCGTTTTGCCCATCAACATTTTTTCTTGACATCAAATTGTTTGACATTGTCCTGCAAAACAATGGAAGATTGTTGTTATTCTGTCAGATTTAGTTTTCTTTAGAGATTCTCGGAAACGATTATTTCAAATTAAATAGGAGTTGTACTGATGTAGCAATTTTGCTAACAGGAGTCATAAATTGTAACAAAAGCCATTTTACATTAAATGATAAGAAAACAAAATGGGTGGTGGTTCACAGGTCAAAGAACAAGTCTATTGTGGGAGGTCTTCCAACACCATTTATTCCCAAACACAAGGAAGTATGGATCATGTAGTTCTGAAAACAATAATGAGCTCTCATAAGTATACAATATATTCCCTATTATCTATTCTGTCTCTCTTTGTCATTTGTACACTCATAAAACTCAGATAAATAACTTCTTCATAATTCAGAAATGTTTACACTTAATCTCTTATAGGAATGCTTAGAAAATCTCTCATATAATGAATTATGTGTGCCTATAATATCTGCGACGTCATAACTATGCTTCTCTGAATCATGAACAATAAAATAATGAGATTAAACTCTACACTGCCAGAAATAATCTATAATACACTGAATAATGATAAGACACTGAATAACATCTCTTACAACTCCAATCTACACTCAATAAGACTTAAATGTACTTGTAAACAAACATCGCTGGCACACGCAAATTCTTGGAAACAGTGCATCTCTGACTCTCAATTCCAAGAAATGGAAGTCCTACTCTATTTGACCAAAGGGGTGACAGGTGGCCAAAACATATTGAAAACAATATGGCGCCAAGCAAGGGAGTGCTCATTAAACTAAACATCTCCGGGAGAAATCATTGTCAAATTATTCTCTTACATGATCAACCTTTGTGGTGGATATACTGGAAACAAGTGAAATGTTAAAAACTTGTTACCTTAGCATTGCTCCTTTTATGTGATCCACAAAATTGATGCCACCCAGTCTTCGAAGATGAGATTTCTGCAAATTCCATTAAAATTATATCATATTTCATAATTAAATATTCCTTACTAAATTACTTCTTTTGTATGTAACATTTTAACCTTTAAGAGACATGAATAATCACATCCCTTCCAAACAAGTGTAAGAATGAAAGTATGTGAGTGCAGTTTTGTTAATTGTCCCATCAAAGAATCATTAGTGAAGTTACACATTTTGTAAATAAATAAAAGTTCAAATAAATTATATGCAATTTCATCCATAACAAAGACTTGCACAAGACATTTTGATGTGAATTTTCGTTGCATGATCTGAGAAAGATTTCCTTTCGCTACTCTCCCACCCCCACCCCCACACACACACACACACACCCCACACCCCAAATAATATGCATATGTTGACAGGGTTCAGAGCCTGCTCAATGCATAATTTACTGATATATCTATTCAAACGAACAAACGTTCATAATAATGTGATGCAATATAAAATGTTGATAAATTCTATTCGATTTTGTATAGCTGCCCTTAGGGACAGTTCATAATGTATGGCTTAGGGGTGATGATGATTTTTAAGAAGAAGCATGTACAATGTGAATTACCCTCCCCCCTCCCCCCGTAAAGTTTATGTACGAAATAAGTGATGCCCAACCCTGCATGTCATGTACAATATCTATGACGCCCTCTCCCCTTCCCATAATTTCTAAGTATTATATTAAACATAGTGCGTGTGTACAAACATGCTGACCCCCTTAGCTCCCCTGAACAAAATGGGTGACACACACACACCCCTTACTATCATCACCCCCACCCGCAGCCATATAATTATGAATGGTCCCTTATATTGAAGTACTTCATTGATTATTTGAAAATGTATATTTGCAAAATTCAAATCAGGTGATGGGTACGAAAGGAAATCTTATTCGATTATATAATAAAATGCCAAATATATTGAAAAATAACAAAACAAGTTTATGGAAAACACGGGCTTCCACTAAATTTTGAGAAACATGTATGTGACATACCGGTACCCTTGTGAGATAAAACATGAGCCCTAATTCGGAGTTTCTTGCTACATTGACCTGCTAGATTTAAACAACATTCCTATGTTTTCATTATACATGAAGGACATACTTACCAAATAAACACCAGCATGCCGTGAAGATGTTGAAAATAGAACGATATTGCGTTGAACTTCGCCAAAGTAAACTGACAACGATCAGCTGCCTTTGCGCGCGCGATAATTGTGCGCATGTCCGGATATGGCCAAACGAGGCGATCTGGCAAGTGCTTGAAAGCAAATTGTCGGGAATTATACAATTTTGACAGTTTTGTGGGAAAATATCAAATGTTATGCAATACGGATAACTGATGACTTTATACCTAAAATCAGTGATGTTTTCATTTTCAATTGCGATTTACGTAATATTTCCGTCCGTTGATCGATGCACAATCAAACAATATATAAGATTATATCTGTCACTAGCTCGATCTTGATCTTTTATGAAATTAATGTTCCGAAATGATAGTTGCTAAGTTGGATACCTATTACCAATATGAATAATGTATCAAATTTGCCAAGGAAACAATTAGTTGACAGTTTGTTGGTTCCTTACGTTGAAACAACGTTGACAACTAAACGAATCTCGACTAACTTTCTTTGGTCGCATGATAAACGTTGAATCAACGTTTATAAAAGGTTGATCAACCAAACAACCAAAATTCAACGTTGGTTCAACGTTGATTCAACGTTGTGTGCCCGCTGGGCGACAAGTACCAAATTTTAACGTCTTTTGGTATGACGCGGTTGGGGATCGAACCCGCGACCTTCCGCTCTCCGGGCGGACGCTCTTACACCACGGAGGCGGTCGCAGAAGTGGTGGGGCACTCAGGTAGATATCAATAAGTTACATCAAATATAACCAACAATTGGTTATACCTACTTGGGTATTTATAATATTTTAAAAAATTCTGAATTAAAATATGAAACCTATCTGAATTTATTACCTATGATAATCGAATAGGGAGTTACTTAATTTCAGAACTTCAAACCATGGCCAATTGAAACAGGACGATGGTTCAAAACTCTTCAAAATGAAAGAATATGTACTCTCTGTTATGCAAATGATGTTGGAGACGGATTTAACTTTTTGTTTATTTGCCCTACTTTGGCCCAAGAAAGGAAAAATATATTAACAGCTATTTCTGTAGAAATCCGAACGTGCACAAAATAAATCAGCTTTTTCACTCTAACGAACTAGGAACAATTAGGAAATTTGCAATATTTTGCAAAATAATAATGTCTCACTTCAAGCAATGCCCCCACAAAAATAATCAATAACGGACGAGAGTAGCAATGTTTATTTAACTGGTTAAATGTATGTAGAGACAGTTTATTATTGCAACCAAGCAAAATGTTAATATGACAACTTTGTTTCATGCCTGTATTTATATTGTACATTATGATGTAAACTTGTACCTCTAATGCCGCAGAACGCGGCCGGAGTGTACTACTTATCTCAATTTTGATCTACAAAGGATCTTTTTAATCATATTGCTGCCCATTTTATAAAATGCTTGTATTTTTAAAAGAAATTAAATTAATTAATAGATTTTGACATTGTGTAGACAGTTGATTATTTTAATACTGGTAGAGTGGTTACAAGGTAAAAATGCATCCAAAAACCATGAGAGAATTACATCAGATTCGTATTTAGAATTGTGGGAATGTAAACACTGCGAACGTTGCCGTGTCGCTGTTTAATTGTGAGTCGAACTGAGACATTATATCCTTCGGAAAACATAAACGCAATGTTTCCACCAGTGATGTTAGCCGAATGAAGCAACTGGAAACCAAGAAACCAGGTGCTACGGAGTAGTTTACCGTAGGAGGCTGTACGAGGCGATGACAACTGACATGCATCGTGACGTCGGATACCAAGGCAGTGACACTAAAATACCACACTCGGTCTTATTACATACGAATTATACGAAACTCGCTTTCTCTCGGTCAGATACCATAGGAAGGACACTCGTTTCGTATAATTCGTATGTAATGAGACCTCGTGTGGTATTCTCTACATACCAAGCTGCAAATACCGACATGAATAATTTCCTACAACCATGACGAAACCCAGGGCACCTTCTACCAGTACGATATACAGGAAATAAATGTCAGAGAAAACGATACTTGGAAGGTTTTAAAGAGCAGAGAAAAAGGCCCTACAACAATATTTTCTTAAATGGTTACACTGGCCTAAGAAGTTTAATTCATGAGTTTAAGCTAGTGGTGTAGAGAGATTGTAAAGTCTATTTGTAAATTGTAGAGACATCTGTACATATGTTGTAATTGTGGTTTGGAGTGACTTCTCTGACCAATGTCCACTCGGCATGCACGGGGATATTAGATATGTTCATAGAGTTGTGTATTGTCGCTGTGTATGTTGCTCCTTAGATCTACATTACAGATCCCATTTCACAGATGAACGACTTAGGGTTGTTTTTAACATGGTGTGCGCCCACACTATAAAGAACGCTATCCTGGTGAGCTTGAACCTAGTTTCGCGGGGAGGAACATAGACTGTTATTTAGAGAAGGGAATGAGTACAGACTGTTAGTGTCAGAAAGGAATGAGTAAAGACTATTTTTGATGACAAGGTTTCCCGCCAGTATTCGATGACCGAAAAGTTCAAAATTGTACCTTCCTAACTGCTGTCTAAACATAGACTGTCAAGAGTGGATTGGTAGAACACCCGTGATGTGGGTGGCTCTTAAGGGACATAGAGAAGAGGTTGAGTTACTTGTGACTAAAGGAGCCAGCAAGACACTTACGGATAGATTCGGTATCAACATCCTTCACTCAGCCTGTCTAGGAGGAGATGTAGATGTGGTGAACTATGTCCTCTCACATGACATGGCGGACATCGATAGTAGAGCACAGTGCAAAAGAACACCTATGATGCTGGCAGCAGAGAACGGACATAAAGAAGTCGTAGAGTTACTTATGGGTGAAGGAGCTGACATGTCACTTGTGGATAAACATCATGATAACATCCTTTACTGTGCCTGTAGGAGAGGTCATGTGGAGGTAGTGCAGTATATCCTCTCACAGGGCAAGGTGGGCATCAGCAGCAGAGGATCGAAGAAGAAGAGGACACCGGTGATGATGGCAGCAGCAAAGGAACATAAGGACGTGGTGGAGTTTCTGGTGGAGCACGGATCTGATTTGTCACTCGTAAATGCCGGTGGTAGCAGCACACTTCACTTGGCCAGTTGGAGAGGACATCTGGAGGTGGTCAAATACATTGTATCAAAGTACAAGTTGAACATCAACAGCAGAGGATGGAAGAAGAAGACACCGGTGATTGTGGCAGCAGCAAAGGGACATAAGGATGTGGTGAAGTTTCTCGTGGAGCACGGAGCTTATTTGTGACTCGTATATGCCAGTGGTAACAACATCCTTCACTTGGCATGCAAGGGAGGGCATCTGGAGGTGGTGAAGTATATTGTCTCACAGAACAAGGTGGACATCAACAGTAGAGGATCGAAGAAGAAGACACCAGTGATGGTGGCAGCAGCAAATGGTCATAAGAAACTGGTGGAGTTTCTCATCAGAAAAGGAGCAGATGCTATTGGCTTCAAGAGGTGACAACCTTCTTCGTGGCTTGCCGAAAATGAAATGTGGATATGGTGAATATATTCTGTGATAGGGGATTGTGGATATCGAGGCAAAATATTGGACATGTGCTACAAACTATACAAAAATGGGCGTACATATCTATTGCTGCTATGGCAGTATGGAAAGCTACATACACACGTGTTGGCAATAGCGAACAAAACCAAGTTGTACATCTTGCAGAACAACAAATTATTGCAACCGATTTCGTAAAAAGCGAAAAAGATCCTTTCTATATCAAGTTTGTATTTGTAGTAGGCAGATCGTTTTCAGTACACCATGTGGTGGTAGATAGATTGTGTACATTGTGTCTTAGTCGTGGCAAATAGTAGCAGTTTGGATATACACACCCGAAAAAAAGTAGCAAAAACATTAGAAAATTGACCAAATATGTATTTTGTCTTCTGTGTGTTGGACTACACTTGTGTTCTGTATATTGGACAACCTTTTGTCTTCTATATGTTGGACTACTTTTCTGTATGTTGGACTACTTTGTGTCTTCTGTGTGTTGGACTACGTTTCTGTATGTTGGACCACTATTTGTCTTCTGTGTGTTGGACTTCTATTCTGTATGTTGGACTACTTTTGTCTTCTGTGTGTTGGACTACTTTTCTGTATGTTGGACCACTTTTTGTCTTCTGTGTGTTGGACTACTTTTCTGTATGTTGGACTACTTTTTGTGTTCTGAATGTTGGACTACTTTTTGTGTTCTATATGTTGGACCTCTTTTCTGTATGTTGGACTACTTTGTGTCTTCTGTGTGTTGGACTACTTTTCTGTATGTTGGACCACTATTTGTCTTCTGTGTGTTGGACTTCTTTTCTGTATGTTAGACTACTTTTTGTCTTCTGTGTGTTGGACTACTTTTCTGTATGTTGGACCACTTTTTGTCTTCTGTGTGTTGGACTACTTTTCTGTATGTTGGACCACTATTTGTCTTCTGTGTGTTGGACTACTTTTCTGTATGTTGGACTACTTTTTGTGTTCTCTATGTTGGACTACTTTTTGTGTTCTATATGTCGGACTACTTTTCTGTATGTTGGACTACTTTTTGTCTTCTATAAGTTGGACTTCTTTTCTGTATGTTGGACCACTTTTTGTCTTCTGTGTGTTGGACTACTTTTCTCTATGTTGGACCACTATTTGTCTTCTGTGTGTCGGACTACTTTTCTGTATGTTGGACTACTTTTTGTGTTCTGTATGTTCGTCTACTTTAATCTTTTCTGAAATCGGTGAGTAGCAGACTTTGCCTAGCCTACACAGAAACTCCCCACCAACCAACCATAGATTTCCAATTCCACCGTTGTCTTGAATAGTTTCTTTTATCTTGTAGCTATATACCCCAAAAGTTTCTCCAGTCGGCAGAGAGAGTAGCAGCGACAGTCTGTTCTTCCTTCTGTGTTTGGCTACTGCAAACCTTTGCATACATAGATTCCCTCTGGAATGTCTGCAGCTTTTCTGTGTTTGTTGCATGGTGGTGCTGCCGCTTCCATATCCTTTGACTGTAGTTTTTCCGTCTGCTTTTCAAGCTAACTGCAGTAAGAATTTTCTCGCATACGCAATTGTCTACCAAATTGTTGAGTATGTGTTTGTATCGTAGACACCAGCCAAAACAATCTTGGTCGTACAGGTTCTGTATGTTTGAGATACAGTTGAGAGATCTTGATTTCTTCTGGAACCTCTAGTGGGAGTCGCTCCTGGATGTATAAGGTGTATCTTTGTTTTTCCAGATAACGCATTTCTTGCTGCAAGTGCAGTGCTCTTTGGTGCCGCACTTGCAAGTAGAGTTGTCTTGGTCGAATATGGCAGGTACTTGCGGTATAGCAGCGAGACAGTCGGTGCATTGGTTGTGTCTGTCCTTTGTTTCCGGGCAGTGGTCGAGAACGATTCTGCGTTTGCCTGCTGCAGGTTGAAATTGGTTTGGTTGGTATATCGAGACAAAATCTACTATTTTGCCATCTGAATCGAAGAAAACACAGCCAATAGAGTTCGAGAAACTGCCTGGGGATCTGGTAAATTGTGTTTCCCAATTGCTCTAGGATGTTTTTCTCTTTGGTGGAAAGGAACAAATGGGGACGCTCCTCTAGCAACAACTCAAAGACCTCTGTCCATGCCGTGACAGAAGTTGTGTTGGTGTGTGTCTCTGTTTGTGTCTCAGGGTCTATACTGCCTCGGATTCGCATATATCTGGCTTGCGATATATGGTACTTCTTCTTCGCCTCCCGAATAGACATATTGCCAGATTGGATCTTAAATAACCTTTTGCGATAGCTTAGTTCCTGGCATTCTATAATGTTCTATATCCATACACCTGCATATCTCTAATTGGAGTGCACTTCCATCGGTGGTATATGTGTGTGTGTGGAGTGGGAGCGAGTTGAAGCTGGGGTGCTTTCTAGTCTGTTTGGAGGCTCCTAGAGTAGTCCAACACACAGCTGTGAGCTGAATTGGACCGAAAGACCACGATGAGGAGTATTGCGTCCGGAACCCCATTTTGTATACTACTGTGTGCATTAGACTTTTTTTTTCTCTTCTGTTACCGTAGGCTGTATGTTGTCATATGTTCTTGTATTTTTCTGTATGCGGAGAACAGAGGACAAAAAGTGGTCCAATACACAGAAAAGTACCCGAAATGGGCCTCCACAGGCTTTTTTCACATTGCTTTAACATTGGTGCACATCCACTTGCTTTTCTCCCCATTACCTATACTACTTAGTGTTTGATCTTTAGAAATATTTGGATGATGGCTGTCCTGAACTAGATGCTATGCAAGTATTGTATAAAAGTCAGTTTCAGAAACAGCCTAATGAACGTACATTAGACTTCGTCTTCACAATACCAGGTGAAGTCCACTCACCATAGTTTAGTTTAATGCTATATATGTCAAGCATATGTTGAACCTCCTGTTTCAACTTGACATCGACGGAAAGTAAAATTTCAGAAAAGTGTAGCTTTGAACTAGCAATATTTCAGAATAGTGTTGCTTTGATACAATATCTACATCACAAGCAGATCATATATCTATATCACAAGCAGATACAATATCTATATCACAAGCAGATACAATATCTACATCACAAGCAGATACAATATCTATATCACAAGCAGATTAAGTGTCTATCTCACAAGCAGATACAATATCTACATCACAAGCAGATCCAATATCTATATCACAAGCAGATCCAATATCTATATCACAAGCAGATACAATATCTATATCACAAGCAGATGCAATATCTATATCACAAGCAGATACAATATCTATATCACAAGCAGATACAATATCTATATCACAAGCAGATCTAATATCTATCACAAGCATATCAATATCTATATCACAAGCAGATACAATATCTATATCACAAGCAGATACAATATCTATATCACAAGCAGATACAATATCTATATCACAAGCAGATACAATATCTACATCACAAGCAGATACAATATCTATATCACAAGCAGATTAAGTGTCTATCTCACAAGCAGATACAATATCTACATCACAAGCAGATCCAATATCTACATCACAAGCAGATCCAATATCTATATCACAAGCAGATACAATATCTATATCACAAGCAGGGACAATATCTAAATCACAAGCAGATAGAATATCTATCTCACAAGCAGATACAATATCAATATCACAAGCAGATACAATATCTATATCACAAGCAGATACAATATCTATATCACAATCATATACAATATCTATATGACAAGCAGATACAAAATCTACATCACAAGCAGATACAACATCTATATCAAAAGCAGATCCAATATCTAAATCACAAGCAGTTACAATATTTATACCACAAGCATATTCAATATCTATATCACAAGCAGATACAATATCTATACCACAAGCAGATACAATATCCACATCACAAGCAGATACAATATCTATATCACAAGCAGATACAATATCTATACCACATGCAGATACATAGAGAATCTCACCCAAGTGTCTTCTGATATCAATTATATCAACACGAGTTGATAAAGTTACAAATATCCGAGGCTTGCCGAGGATATTTTTACTTTATCAACGAGTGTTGATATATCTATTGATATCAGAAGACACGAGGGATATTTTTACTTTATCAACGAGTGTTGATATATTTGATATCAGAAGACACGAGGGTGAATTTCTATTTATCATCCAAAATCACTCTTCATTAATTTTCAATGAAAAATGTACAGCTCTGAACATGGTACTGCCATTACACTTGCAGTGCAGCGATATCATAGCATTGTGACGTCATCAATTACATGACGTCATAGCATTGTCAGGGCATTGTACAAAATCTACTGTCAAAACGATATCTCTTAGGAGATATCGTTTGATCTCACACAAGCGATATCTCCTGTGGAACACAGATTTGGATGATAAAATATCTATATCACAAGCAGATACAATATCTATATCACAACTAGATACAACATCTATATCAAAAGCAGATCCAATATCTATATCACAAGCAGATACAATATCTATATCACAATCATATACAATATCTATATCACAAGCAGATTCAATATCTATATCACAAGCAGATACAATATCTATATCACAAGCATATACAATATCTATACCACAAGCAGATTCAATATCTATATCACAAGCAGATACAATATCTATATCACAAGCGATGCAATATCTATATCACAAGATACAATATATCTATACCACAAGCATATACAATTTCTATACCACAAGCAGATTCAATATCTATATCTATACAAGCAGATACAATATCTATATCACAAGCAGATCCAATATCTATATCACAGATCCAAAGCAGATGCAATATCTATATCACAAGCAGATACAATATCTATATCACAAGCAGATACAATCTATCAATATATCACAAGCAGATCTAATATCTATATCACAAGCAGATACAATATCAACATCACAAGCAAATACAATATCTACACCACAAGCAGATCCAATATCTATATCA